GCCAATGACGGTGGAGAGAAATTCATTCATTCGTCCCTCAGCCATCCATCCACCCATTGCTACTTTCGTTTGTACACCCTTCAGCAGGCGTTTGCGGAGGACCTGTGGCCCGCCGGGTGCTGGGGCTACAGCAGTAAACGGAAGGAACGACCCCGACCCTGAAGGAGGTGACTGATTGAACCACGATGCAAACGCACGTGTTCTAGTGGCCATACGTTTTAAAAAGGCAAATGGAGACGAGTGAATTCATTCTAATAGTATGGTTGATTTAACCCAATATAACCGAAATATTATCATTTAACATTTAATCGATATATAATTATTAATGAGACAACTTATATTCTTTTTCTCATAGTAGGTCTGCAAAATCTACTGACAGCACACCGGGTTTAGACTCCCCACATTTCAAGCGCTCAGTTGTCCTACTGGACAGCGCAGCTCTGGAGGAGGGACGGGATAAACCCACGACACAGTGAGGCAGAGGCTAATGGCAAGAATAAAGCAGGGGTGGGTGCAACTTTCAATATGGTGGTCATTGGAGCAGGCATGTCCTTGACCCGCATGTAGAGACGGAGTGGGCCAGGGGGATGTCTGGGGAAGGGCCCACGAGGCAGAGGGAAGGGCAGGGGGCACAGGTGGCCGAGGAGGTGATGGGAGCCTACAGGTTACTATATGGACTTAGAGACTTTGGCTTTTGTTTGCCATCCTTCTGCAGGTACTGGCTCAGGCACCTCCCCCTCCAGGAAGCCTTCCTGACCCCCAAGCCGGCTGTGACCCACACCCCCCTGGGATTCCCTCTGTTGGAGTCTGCGACATGTAGGTCTGTTGCCTTGTTTCTGGGTATCTGTGGGTCTGTCTCCTGCCGGGGGCCCGGAACCGATGCCTGGTGAAATGGGGAGGAGGGACGGTGTTTGTCTCATTCACCCCATAACCTCAGGGCCCCTACCCTTACAGTGTTCATCCTGATGACTTCAGACGCTGAGCCAGGTGACTCAACCACACCACTCTTTAAAAATCAGCTTTTTATTCAACTAGAAAGCACATACGGAGAAAGACCCAGATCCTAAGTTACAGCTCCATACATATTTACCGACTGAGGGCTCCAGAAGCCCCTGGTGTCCCCTCCAAGTCATTGCCCATCGAGGGCAACCACGGTCCTGACATCCAGCACGAGGGAGGAGCTCCGTGTCCTTCGAGGGCGCTCTGCTTTGCTGTCTACTGCTCTGTTCTGCGAGCACACCCGAGTTTGCTTCTCCGTTCTCCTGCTAGAGGTGCCTGGGCCCCCCAGAAGCTGCCGGGGCCCTGCACTCCCGCTCTCAGCCCCGAGGTACTGCCACTCCACAGCAGCCAGTAACCGGGCCCCCGCAGGGGTTCTTGGACACTCGTTTGAGGCAGGACAGACACGGACGTGTGAACCCATCAAGTTGCCCCCACAGCCGGTGGGGTCAGCGTGATCGTTACTGCCCTGTGCCACACGCGGGGACCCACAGCCCTGCAAGGGGGAGCCGTGGGCCCGAGCTTACACAGGAGTCCAGCTGGGCCAGCTGACTAACACTCCCATTTTAACCACTGCCCAGCCTGGCCCCTTGGAAGGGAAGACAATACTACCTCGTTTCTGGCCTGCCTTATCTTCCCCCAATTCCTTCCAGTCTCCTCCCCAAAGAGGACTCCAAGCACCCTCCACACCCCAGACACCTGTAAGCTGCCTCAGGCACCCAAGCCGAGCCAGAGATTGGGCCTGCCCATGGGAATTGAAATACGTATCTCCAGGCCCCACCTGGCCACTGTGACCCAGCAGGCCAGGGCTGGGGGGCCTGGGAACTGGCAGGTTTAACAAGCATCTGGGGACAATCTGATGGGCGGCCATATTGAGAGCCCTGGTGAGGGTGATGGGGAGCCAAGGAAGGGATTAGAGGAGGGGAGGGACTTCAGGAGGACAAATATCCCCAGACATTAGCTCCTAGAGTGAAGGCTCTGAAGACAGAATTCTGGGGTTCAAAACCCGACTCTGTCGAGTGACTTTCCCTGCAGAGCTGGGATTGCCCGATCTGCAAATTAGGTGCCCACCTCACCTGAGCAGTCTGGCAATGAGGACAAATATCCTGGCAATGGACTTTAAGGCATTAAGGAAGGGTGCCCAGGGTGCTGAGAATTCCAGGTGATGGTGAGATCCCTGGGAAGTCTTCCCAGAGTTCAGAGTGGGCTTGGTCAGGAGAAGGCAGGGTGGGTGGTGACTGGGGTGGACACAGATTTGGGGAGCATTGTGTGGTATTCATCTTCCCAGGGCTGGGCTGCCTGCCTGGCAGGCCCCCGAGTCAATGGCTGTGGGCCCAGGGTCAGAAACCTGAATCAAAGACCTGCTTCTTTCTCACTCTGTGACCTCGAGCCAATCACACACCTTCTCTGGACCTTGGTTTCCTTATAGGAGGATGATGCATCCCACTGCTGAGTGTGGCATGACAGAGGAAGGAGGAGATTCAGACTCAGACAGACAGGGTTCACGTCCCATCTGCACACGCGTGTGCCCTTGGGCCGGTCCCTTCACCTCTCTGAGCTTCCACTTCCTCACCTAGGGCTGGGGGAGAATGGAAGGTGAGCAGTGCCATGGGCAGAGAACCTCCATCATTACCTTCCAAGGAGGTGGGGTCACAGCACAGGGCTCCCCTGGCCAGCCCAGCCCCCATTTCTGCCTGGGGTAAATCTGGGGTAACTGGCCACTCAAAGAATGTTGACATCAGATTAGAGGTTAGAGCATCTGACCCCTTTCCCATTTCCCAGATGGGAAGACTGAGGTCCAGAGAGGAGCTGTGGTTTGTCCAAGGCCACACAGTGTGCCCCTGGTCATACCATAGGGAGAGCCCAGACCTCCTGACTCTCACAGATTTGTGCCTTGATTTCTCCATCTGAACATTGGCCTGGGGAGCGGGGCAGTGAGGCTTCAGGTGGCCATGAGTGTATGGTAGGCACATCTGAGGGCGGGACTGGGGGAGTGGAGGGGCGTCTCTGGCATGCCCAGGGAAGGGTATCAGCCACCCCTGGATCACCCAGGCCTCTGCATCTGCCAGGCCTGCCTCAATGCTGCCATTGTCCCGGCATTGGGGAAATGATGGGTGATGGGATTAGGCCTGCGGCGGGGGACAAGGAGACAGCCCTGGCATCCGGGCCACAGGCAAGGAAGGGTGCTCCCTCCTCTCCTCTGTGGCATGGGTCCGGGCCAGGCTGGGCCAGGGCCAACCTGCCAGGGCCCCAGAGACTCTGGGAGTGCTGGCCTCCTGACCAGACCTCTGGCCACACCATACTACCCACAGACATGGAGCCCCCACCTTCACAGACCCACCCAGACCCCCCACATACAAAGACAAAGACATCCTAACAGACACATGTACCAACACCCAGACACACAGACCCATGGCTACCAACCCAGTAATTTCCAGAGCTGGAGCACCAACTGATCACCCCCGATGTACATTTTTTTTCAAAGTTATGGATTTTTTTTTTACATTCTAGCAAATGACACTGATTTTTAGGGTCCATGTAGAGTGGACCTACCTTAAAATGTATTGTTCACTTTATTATGTATAAACATACATTTACTTTTTATTTTTTATTTATTTCTTTATTTTTAATTGAAATATTCTTGCATATAACCTTGTGTAAATTGAAGGTGTACAACATTTACTTTTAAAAGGAGTCCATTTAGAGAACAGTAGCAGTGGCAATCTCGGAAGAGGTGATGGGGCAGATACGACAAATCCTGGGAGCCAATCCTCACACGAGCGTTGTCTGTGAGCCCCTGGTACAGACTCCGTACACGGGAACACACGGACACCCAGACGTGGATGGACACCAGAGGTCTTTTCCCACACAGACCTCTACAACTGGACCCTCCCGTCCACCCACATGCCCCAGACTGCCCTGACCCATAGGCTGTTTATACACTGACAGGTGCTCAGAAACACACAAGCTGGCCCTTGGCCTTGCACAATTAGCACCCCCTCCCCAACTCCAACCAGACACACCTGTTCACATCTCTCTCAGCCTCAAAAACTCATCTGTGGTTAACATTTATTGAGCACTTACAGTGCTCATGAGCACTTTTCATCATTTGATTTATTGAAACCTCAGGACAACGCTGCAGAAGTTGGTACTGTCATCATTCCCCTTTTACAGGTGAGAAAACAGAGGTGAAGTGACCTGCCCAGGGCATACAGCAGCAAGGAGGCAAAGCCAGGATTTGAACGCAGGCAGACTGGCCCAAGAGCCCAAACTCCAATCCCAACCCTGTCCCCTCCCTGACTTGCCAGGTAGACTTGGACCAGTTGTTCTACTCGGAGCCTCAGTCTCCTCATCTGTGAAATGGGTACAGTTCTCACGTCCCTCACGTGTTGTGAGGATTGCAGGGGCTGACACAGGAGAGCTCCTGGAAGCACACTGAGCTTCTGCGGGCTCCCTGTGGATAGGGCCATCCTCAACACAAGATCTGGGGCAAGCAGCTGAGATGGGCTGAGAGGAGCTCTTCCACTTGCTCAGCTGTGTGACCTGGTGAGGGGAGTTGGCCCTGTGCCTCAACTTCCTCATCTGTAAAGTGGGAATGGCCATGTTTGCGTGGGTTATTGGGTGGATGAAATGAGATAGTACAAGTAAAGCCTGAAGCATGGCATTCAGCAGGCACTCTATATATGCCCATGCCTGCCCCCCAAGGCTGTGACCAGCGTCCCTCAGACCCCACGCTGGTCTTATACTCTAAAACCCACTGAAGGGGAAGAAAAGGCAGACGTCAATTTACTACAAATAAAGACATCGAACCATCAGATGTTCGTGAGGATCTTTCTCCTGTTTATTGTCAAGGCCCGGCCCAGGCCTGCCCGGCTCACTCCTTGTCAGAGGAGGTGGCCAGTCGTGGTAGGGGGGCCTGGCCCACCGGCTCCAGTTGGGGGCTCCTCCAGAGGGCGCAGGTGGGTGGTGGCGTGCGGGCAGCCAGAAGGCCAATCCTGCCCTGGTCATTTCAACTTCAAGTCCAGCACCAGGGCATTCTGGAAGGAAGCAAAGGGCCAGGTAGGGATGAGGGAACATCGTACAGGATGGTTCAGGCCAGTGGCCAGGAAATGGAAGCCAGGGTGGTGTGTAGGAGCAGAGGATAAACTAGACCTGCCTGTGGCCCTTTGCGTCTCTAAGTGTCCGTTTTCTCAGTGGTCAAGTGGGAACAGCGTCCCTACCTCCCAGAGTGGAGAGATCAAATGAGAAAAAAGTACATTTAATGCTCTCAGCACAATACTTGGCATGTAATGTAAAGCTAATATTTATTACACACTAACCGTATGCCTTTAGGTGAATTATCTCAATAGCTCTCTGAGGTGGATACACTCATATTATCATCCCTATTTTAAGCCACAGAAAAAGGTAAAGTAAGTTGCCCGAGATGCCAAAGAAGGAAAGTAGCAGGATTCAAGTTTCCTCCTGGGGAGCCCCTGGCCAAAGGAGGCCCACGTTCTGAGGGGCAGGGCCTTGCTCAAGAGAGCGACAGGATTGTACTGATGGCCGCTGCCCTCCTCAAGCCTCCTCCCTCCAGGCTGAGAGAGGCAGGCTTTTGCTCATCACTCATTGGCCAAAAGTATTGACTGACATGACTTTCCTTAGCTCCTTTCCTCACCTCTACTATGCCCAGCTCTGCCAGGTTGTAATCCATGTCCAGAAAGTCTGGAAGTGGGAGCCCGACTTGGAGTGCATCTGAGAAACACAGTAAGAGTCATTTTAGCTGACTGCCCTGCAGTTGATTGATTCCTCCTTACAGCCCCTCCTTGGCCGCCTGGAGCAGAGCAGTGGGAAATAGCACAGCGACTGGCTCACGACGTCTGCCAGCCAGCACGGGCATAGAGAACATAAGCCTGATCACCATGTGTTCACATCCCAGGTCTGGATCAAGATCTGACTCATGGTGTGGGCTCAAGGGCCAAGGGTCCCAAACTGTGCAAGGGGCCTTTGTCCCCAGGCAGGTGACATTAAGACTACATTAGCTTCAAAGACCTGGCAATAGCTATCCACTCCGTCTTAGCCTCCCTTATCTGGGACCGGTGAAGGGGCTCTGAGACCACCCAGGTGGCATCCCCTCCTGCTTATAGTCCGTGTTGACACCAGCAAAATCAAAGCCCCCTGGAGCCCTCACCATTGATGACTGGGAGGTACGCTTCTTGGAGATAATCAGTGATGAAGCCAGTCAACTTCTTCTCCTGGGGTTAAGAGAGAAGGAGAGAATACCCACATCCCATCATTCAATTCAACTCAATTCAACAGATTTTGGCAGCCCTCACTTCAACTGGGTCTGGGGACCACAAGAATGAATATTAGAGACATCAAATTGTCCACCTAGCAGCAAAACTGGGCAGGACCCTGTCTGACTGTAGGCTGATGCCTTATACCTCCACTTAGTTCCTGTTGAGTGACGTGTGGGCCTTGGGTCATGGGGCAGGCACGGAGGAATTCAGGACACAGGTGACCTGTGGACCCCATTTTGCTCCTACAGGAAGCTCAGTGGTTTTGATCAGTCTTTCATTCACTACCTCTCTGTACCTCAGTTTCCCCATCTGTGAAAGTAAAATATGATAGCACATATGCACAGGGATTCAGTGAGTTTGGGTAAAGCACAGAGCACAGCGTAAGTGCTCAGGAAGTGCTACTATTGTTATTATTATTATTGGTGCCCACTGGTCAGGTTCTGTCCTAGGCCTTAAAGCTACAGAGACTAGTAAAAAAGACAGCTGCGTCAACCAAGCCAGCCCAGGCTGCTGCTACGCACGACAGTGTTATTAAAATCAATCCAGGGAGATGTCCAGATTCTATCCAGAAAAGGAGGTGGACTCAGAGACGCTAAGTGACTTTCCCAAGGTCACACAGCAAGTCAGCTGCCCCAAGCCCCACAGTTAAGACGCTCTCTTCCCTCTGCCTCCATTTCAGGGGCCATCCCTGCAGTGTCAAGGGAGAATAGGCACAGTCTTGCCCTCAAACCAGACCAGAAAGAAGCACTGGAGACACTTACGTTGAAAGCACCAATCGATGAGGACTCCCGTGACAGGCTCAGTAATCTGCATGGGGTCGGGGTGCGGGGGACAAGGTGTGGGCAGGGCAGTCAGGGTCACTGTCCCTGGCCATGGATAAAGGGGATCTCAAACACCTACAAACCCTCCCTGATGCAGAAGTCCCTACACAGCCTTCAGGTGCTCTTAAGTCCCTGCTTGGATGCTACCCTATGATGGGGCACTCCTCACCTTTCATTACAGCCCATTTTGTTTCCTACAGCTCAAACCACTCCCTCTTCTCATTGGTTCTGACTCTTCCCTCTGGGACCCCCAGCCATGTCTATGCTCCTGCCCAAGGCCAGGCATGCAGAGGTTTGCTGCCCAACGAGTCAGCCCCAAATCCTTGCAGGACCCAGGATTAGGACCCTTCACGTGACCCCCTCCCCTGCACAGCCTCCAGTAAGCATTAATACATGATGGCACCAAAACAGGCCATGTGATGGTCATCTGGTGGCTTTATCTTCCCAAGTTTTATTCTCTATTCAGTAGCAGACCTCCCATTTTCCACTCTCATTCCAAGGCATACAGAGTCCCAGGGTGAGCACATGACCCAGACATGGCCAGTCAGAACGTTCTATCTCTGGCATCAGGGACCAGTGTCAAATTGGTCATGTGATCCATGCTAAACCAATGAGAAGTGGCCTTGATAATTGATAACTATTGGACAAGAGGGGGTTGGGGTCACTTTGCCACCACCTAGGGACAGGCTGCCTGAGAATTTAACCAACAAAATGGACAGCGAAGACCAAGGGAGGAGGGAGATCCTGAGGATTTTGTGCCAAGATCCAGCCATGCTTGAAATTAAGATCTACCCCTAGAGTTTTCAATTATGTGAGCCCAAAGATTCCCTTTTGGGCTTAAGCCAGTTAAGTTGGAATTGTCTCTGGCACTGAAAGAATCCTGGCCTAATACAAGTCAGATCAGAGATTAAGACAAACATAAAAGGTAATGAGGAAAAGTACGATATTGAAGTAGGATAATGAGTATAATGTATGGAGCCAGTGCCTCACATAGACAGAGCTCTATAAATGTTAGCTGTTATTAGTAGAAGGACAGGGTTCCAGGAGAAGGTGGCATTTGAGGTGGGTGCTGGGTGGCAGGTGGCATTTGGATGACATGGACAAAAGCTTATTAATGGAAAAGGGGACATGGTCCCATGATCAGACTCACTGTGCAAGAGCCTAGTGGAAGAGCAGGAGCAGGAGAATTTGAGAAGGGCCCTGAATGCCAGGCTAAGATTTGAGAAAAGATCATGCAGATAATGGGGAGCTATTGAGGATTCTAGAAAAGGGATAGTGACCAGAACAGTCTGGCAGTGTGGGCCATGCTGGATGGATCAGAGGGAGACCCTGAAGCAGAAAACCAAGTGCTGTTGGTAATGCCCATGTCGGGAACAGGGACACCAGCATGGGCATCAGACTCCTACCTGTCCAGAGAGGTGACCATTTGCAGACGATTCTCATGAACTGAGTACTGGATTTTCAGGTTGAAGTGCTGGCAGGTGGCAGATGGGGACAAAAGCAGGGAAAAGACAGTGGGTGCCCCATAAGGGCTTGTAAAACCAGGGGCTCCACCACCTTCCCAGCACTATTGCCATAGCAAAGCAGGGGTCTTCCTCTCTGCCCATTCCACCTTTGGGAACTGAATCTAGTAGTCTCCCCATGCCCCCAGCCCAGGTTCCTCAGCATCTCTGTACCTGCCCCAGGACCAGACTCTCAAAAATGTCTGGCACATTTGTAGGTCCTTGCACACACCACGTTATTGCTCCAGCCTTTGCACATCCTGTTATCTCTACCTGGAATGCCCCCTATCACCAGCATCAACCCTTTCTCTGGCCAGTCCTGCTCAACCTTCAAAACATAGCTCAGGCATCACCTCCTCTGGGAAGTCCTCTGTGATTTCCTCACCTAGATTTGAGATCTTTCTAGGCTCCCATATTCTCCTGGGTGAGCCCTTCTCAGCCTTTGTATATGCTAATGACTGTTGGAGGAAGGAAAGGAGGTAGAGAAGGAGGGAAGAAGAAAGGGAGGGAGGGAGGAGAGAGAAAGGAAGGAGTCAACTATTGACCCTCAGTTTGTTGATCTTTCTAGCCGTTCAAAGGTTCAGTGGCAGAGCCAAGGATCAGACATCAGGTGACAGCTCCCAGGACGTTAGGACCACATAATTGGGATTAATTAAGGATTTTTCAATCCATTACTTGGCTATCAACTAAAATCCTACACTCCAGCCTTGAATATCCATAAGGTGGGGCTTAAATAGGAAACAGATTCTACTCACACTTTCCAGGAGAAAGAGGGATACAGGAGCCTTGCCCCGCCGCTGAGCAGCAAACATCTCCAGGGTGCCATGGAGATGCAGCAGGCTATTGCCTGTCTTCATGGTGACCTTGGGGGGCTTGTTTATCCTGATCTGGGTCACCAAGGGCTTCGGCTTGGGATAGGCCTTAGCTACCTACAGAAACCAGGACATTCCCCTCAGGGCCCACCCTCAGATGGGTGGCTTCAGCTGAAACCAGGAGTCCATCATGAAATAGGTCCCTTGGACACAGGAAACATGACATGCAAGGGCAGGGATGTGTCTATCAGGAAATAAAAGAAACAAAACAAGCAGTCTGCTCTTTCTTATTGGACATAGGAAGTACAACTCACAAAAGCTGAGCTGTTTCTATGCTGGACCCAAAGAGTACTTTATGGAGAAGTTGGGATATTCCACATCAGACAAGGAAAATGTGACCTTGAAAAGCTGCCTCCCAAATCCCTTGTCCCTTCAACTGGAGAACAGGGCAGGGGAGATATGGGGATCATGGGCAGTTAGGGCACTCACTTTAGGGATGAAGCCAGCCAGTGTCTTCGTGGTTTGTGGGGGCAGCTGACCAATCTACAAAATAAAAGCAAGGTTAGGATTACTGAAGCCTTCCCCTGCCCTTCCTAACAGACACCTCCTCTGACTCTATAAGGTAAGCCCTCTGAGGTTCCCTCCAACATAATATTACCACTGTGATTAAGTAGATAAGGAGCTCCTGGGTAGCCCAGACTGTGGCTTACATGACCCAATGTCCACGGCTCTTAGCATAAGGTCAGACGCTGAGAAAATATTGGATGAAAAAGTGGCAGGCAGATGGGAGAATGGATGGATGTGATGGGTGAGAGGAAGGTGGGTGGATGGATTTGTGGGTGGATAGATGACTGGGGAAATGGATCAACAAATGAGTGCTGAATGGATGCATGGATGGATGGATGAGCACTTATGTAAGAGAATGAATAACAGATGGGCAGGTGGATGGGGTGGGTGGAGGGATGAAAGGAATGATGGAAGGGAGGATGGCTGGGTAAGAAGATATGGAATGGTCTGATAAATGAATGGGAAAGTGGATAAATAATGGATTGATAGGTGGGAGGATGGATGAGAAGGTACATGGATGGATGGTGGGTGCATGGATAGGAGGATGAATGGATGGATCCGTGGTGATGGATGGAAGGATGGATGAATGGAGAGATGAGTAGGAGGATGGATAATGGAGAGTTGAGTGGGTAGATGGGTGTTTGGGTGGTGAAGGATGGATGTATATACTCACTTATTCAGTAGTACCAGACCCTGTTCTAGGTGTGGATAATATGAAGGGTGGATGGATGGTAGCTGGAAGGATAGAGTCAAGGGCATGAATACATGATAGCGAGATGGACAGACAAGTGGCTGATGACTGGATAAAAAAGGGTGGATGGATGGCCAGTGCATGAGATTTGTAGGTTGATGGATAAATACCTGGTTGCATGGACAGTTGGATGGATGGATGAGTAGATGGTGGTTACATGGACAGAGAGATGGTGAGTGCTGGGGCAAACTGATGATAGAAACCCAAATCAGTCCCAGCATCTCCAGTCTTGGTGCTGTCCACAGCCCCAGGATAATTCTCAGAACAGACACACCAAGCAGGGACTGTCATTACAGGGCAGCTCACCTTCATATCACGGACATTCACATCGAAGGACTTCTGCAGAAGGGCCAGCTCTGCGGTGAGGAAGGCGGCCGAGAGCAGCAGCTGTGAGGAGCCTTCAGCATAGCCCTCAGGGAACTCGAAGGCCTCCCCAGCATCAGCAAGCTGGATGGTGTTGCCCTCTCGCTGCTGCACCGTAGGCTTGGGACAGCGGGGAGAGAGATGCTCAGCCTTGGCCGTGAGCTCAGCCACGGCTGGAGACAAGACTCTGTCCTCCAAACTAAGTGGCGCTCAAAACCAGCTCCCAACTCAGCAAGTCACTCGATGGTAGAGCCAAGAGCAGGCTATCCTCCCAGTGTATAGATGGGTAAACTGAGGTCCGTGAGGATAAGGGAATCAGTCACTGAGCCATGGGTAACCCCAGTTAATCTGACTGAGAGTTGGAGCAGCTCAGCGTTCTGTTTATTCTCAGAAGGAGGTAAGTGGCAAACAATGCAGGGCCTGAAAGATCCACACTGGAGGAAGACTTCCCAGGGAGATGATGTTGTGGGATTTTTCTTCCCATTCCTGGAAGAGGCATCTCACCTGTCACCTGGAGTTCTGAAGACCTGGCTGAGGACCCAACTCCACCACAAACTCACAGTGAGACCCTAGCCAAGTCCTGCCTCCCCCCAGGCCCCAGTGTTCCCATCGGTACAACTGGGTGAGCCACTCATTGGGAGAAGCAGACAACCTTGGCGAAGGTGTGAGTGTGGGGTCAGCGGTCCTGGAAGTCAGCTTAGGACTCAGGGTTCATATTGAGAGCAGAAAGAGAAAGAAAGCTTCAGTGTCAGGAAACACTCTCATGGTGGGCTTGGTCTGCCAGGGCCTGAGGGACCCTCCCACCCTCCGCACTCCAGTCCAGCCACCTCCCTGGCAGAAGCAGGCTCGTGAGAACCCCAGTCCCCTGGTGGCCCCCTGGCACTTACACCGAAGTCCACTTGGATGTAGCTGGCCGTGGTGGTCGGTATGGACGTCAGGACATATTTGACTGTGCCCATCTGACCCACGGGCATGGGGGCTGTGCAAGAGGGGGTTCTATTCAGAGAGCCGCCAACTGGGGGCAGGTCATAGATGCTGGCCCCAGCCACCTGCTACCTGAGCTGGCCGGGGTGCCAGGAAACCTGGCCCTCTGTGTGACCCAAGGCAAGTTGCTTAGCCTCTCTGGGCCTCAGTAATTTCATCTGTAGAATGGAGGCAGCACTGGCTGGCCTGGAAATCCCACTCCCTCACATCACTCTACAGGCACAGAGCTCGAGAGTTTCCTGAGAGGTGTTGTGGCTCAGTTCCCACAATAGACTGGCGCGATCAGGATTCTTGGCTCTGTTTTACAGATGCACAGACTGAGGCTCAGAGGAGTAAAGTGAACCAGGCCACGCTGCTGAGCACATGAGCCAGTTTTCTTCATTCCCAGCCATTGGGTTTTCCTCTCACCCCACTAGGGAACCCTATGAACCCCGAGATCACAGAGGCAGTAGATCCCCTTGACAAAGGGAAGAGTCAGGTGTCATCACTATAGGATTACTATTCAGGGTGCAAGGTTTCTAGACGAGCCCACCAAGGCTGCTGTCCTTGGAGTCTGGAGGTCACGTATAGAACATTGGATGGAGGACTAAGACAAAAACCCAGAGTCCCTCAGAGCCTCAGGTTTCCCATCTGGACAGTCGGGGGCTGGACAGACACCGCAACCTTAGACCTCCTCAGTCCCAAGGCTGGGCTTGGAGCAGGTGCTTGAATGGGGAGTGGAGGCTTCCAAACCCAGCCATCCTGATGTCCTATGTGGGAGCGAGGCATGGCTGGGGCCACTCACCATTCAGATTGGCCCACTTCCTGTTCACATACACCAGGACCGCGTCGATGGCTGGACACATCTGGAAGCAGAGAAGGTGCTGGGCTGAGGGGCCGCTGCATGGAGGGTCTCACTCCTCACAGCTGAATGGTACTCCATGGGGAGACCCAAAAGCCCTGGAGGGAGAGGGACTGGAGAGGAAACCGAGGCCACAAGTCACACAGAAAGTCAGTGGCAGGACCTGGACTAGAATCCAGAGCTGCTGACCACAGCCTGCAAAATCAGCAGGGACTCGTTCCCCAGCAAATGGTAATCATTCCTCCTTCTGTGCTCATGGCAGACATCACTAGATGATCAAGGCACTTTCTCCTCCTGAGCCAGCCACAGCCTTGGAGTCCTCCTCAGCTGTGGGGTCAGTCAGTCAGGGTCACACCCGAGAGAAAACGCTCTTGCCAGCCCTGGTCTGAGCACTGCCACGGATGCAGATGCGGGTGGAGGTTTGCTCTGGGCACTCACCAGGCTCGGAAGAACTTTGTGCAGGGTGCTGTCCAGGAACTTGTTGACAACCTTAGGCAGCATGCTGGACACAGAGGATGGCGACAGGGCACAGATGGCAGGCAGGTAGGCATAGGACATACAGGGACACGACAAAGGAAATGCAAGGGCTCAGGGTGTGGGATGCTGGGCAGGGGTGGCAATGTGGACCCCACCCACCTCCCCAGCCATAGAGCCCCTCACTTGCTGGGCAGGTTGGTCTTCACGCTGACCAGGATGATCTCACAGCCCTCGCTCTTAAACATGGGGAGGCCCGTTTCCTCATCCTGCAGAAGCCGGTTGGTGGCTGTGATGTTCAGAGCCACGATGATCTCCATGTTCCCACCCATGAAGCTGGAGGGGCGGGTAAGCAGGCATCATGGGCATCTTGGCCCCTGTGGCCACTATCCCTGGCTCCTCTGTGCTCTCAGTCTCAGCAGCTCAGGGAGGAGGAAAGGGTGAGGCACCGCCCCCACAGGACAGAAAAGAGGATGGGACCTGCCCAAGGTCCCAAAACCAGTCTTTCCTGTTCCCTCTTGCTTTGGGGAACTCCTACACATCCTTTAAAACCCTTCTCAGCATCATTACCTCCCCAGAGCCTCTTCTGATTGCCCTCACACTGTTGGGCTTCCTCTGTCCTAGGCTAATCACTCAGTCTGTGATCGTCTGTGCTCAGGTCTGGTTCCCACCAAATGTAGGAATCAAATATGCACCATCTCAGAGCACAGCACCCAGGTGGTTCACAGTGGGTACTCAATAAATGACACGTAAGAGTAAGACAAGGTCATCCTCCTCCCTCCCTCCCCTCCTCTGCCATACTCACCTCTTGCCAGTGATGGTCATGCCGGTGGACACACATTGGAAAATGCCCACCCCAGGGATGAAGTTCAATGTGATGACAGGCAGCTGCACATCCTTCACTTTCAGACTGGGAGGGGACAGACATCCACAGCAATGAGAACCGGACAGTTGAGACCCAGGCGCCCTTAATCCATTCCTCCACCACCTTGCTGGGAACTCTTGGGTAAATCCCCCATCCCATGCCACAGGGATAAGCCTGTCTCATGGGGCCATTGTGAAATGCAAAGGCTGAACACAAATCAGTTTGTACACAGAAGTACTTGTCATGTGTGAGTTGGGACACTTGGCTGTGTGATCTTGGGCTGCACCCTTCCCCTCTGGGGGCTTCAGTTTCCCCACTGGCAGAATGGGGAGGTTTGCTTAGATCAGGGTTTGTTAACGGTGCCACTGTTGACATTTTGGGCAGAATAATCTTTGTTGGGGGGGGGGGGGGCGGTCCTGTGTCTCGTAGGATGTTTAGCAGCATCCCTGGCCTTTACCCACCAGAGGCACAAGATGCATCTCGGTCCACCCACTCCAGCAAGCTGTGATAACCAAAAATGTTTCCAGACATTGCCAAATGTCCCTTGGAGGCAAAATCACCCATGGTTGAGAACCACCGGTCGAGATCCAGGATAACAGAGATGTGGCATATCGAACAACCCCCTACCCATTGCTGACCTGAGCTCTCGGCAGGTATTGCTAATTGACCACAGTCTATTTTCCGCTCAGTGCAGAGTGCTCAGAGCCCACCCTCCCCAGAACATCCTTCCAGGCAGCCCCCACCAATCAAGCCCATAGGGCACTTGCAATGGAACCAATTTGCCTCGTCGTTAGATGGTGGCTGATACCTTTCTGCCTCTGGCATTTGAGAACTTTTCGCGTGCATTCAGTGAGCCCCTGCTGCATGCCGGGAGTTGGAGTTTGACTTCTCAACCTCACTTCCTCCACCCAGTGACCCTGCTCATGAGACTCAGCAATTGTCTCCAGTGGATGAGTGAGGTCCAGGCAGGAGCAGTGACCTACCCGAGGTCATAGAGCAAAGCCAGGAAGAGACCCCAGGCCCTGCCCCAGCTCTCCCTCGTGCCCTCTCAGGTCCTGGTCACAGCATTCCCCACCACCCTCTGCCCCGCCACCCCTGAGGCCCCTCCCCTGCTCACTTGGTGATGCCCTTGATGGGTTTCACCCCCGGCCGATTCTTGCCCGCCTCAGCTGCCATCTCTTCCAGGATGTGGCTCTCATCCATGGCGTTCTGCACCTCTGGAAGGGGGGTGGTGGTGTCCAGAGAGATACTTAGCTGGGCCCCCCACTACTTTCCTGCCCAGGGCCACCTCTCAGGCATCCCAGGCACAGGCCACTCACAAGTGGCACCACCCTGTGCCCATAGTCCCTGCGCCCCACCCTGGGCTGGGTGAGCCAGGGACCCAGAGAGGAGTCACGTCTGGCCCCTGCCCTCCTCCAGCCTCATGGGGGAGACAGTCACCAGCACTGACAGTAACAAGTGACAAGAGCCATAATACGCAGACAGCTGGAGGAACCACAGGAGGGGTTTGGGCCAGGAAGAGAAGAGCTAGGGAAGGCTTCCAGCAGGAGGCGGCATATCAGTTGGTCCTTGAAGGAGGGATAGGAACTTTCACCAGGAAGCAAAGATGTAAAGAAGGCTAGTCCACGAAAAATGCAAAAGTGGAGAAGCAGGGAAGAAGGCTACATGGAGAGTCAAGAGTGAGAAATTCAGCAGGGCTGGAGGGTGGGGAGGGACATGACAGGGATGGAGCAGTTTGCAGGGGGCAAATCATGGGGGTCCGAACCCCAAGCTAGAGTGCTGACTTTATCCTGTGGCCCAGCCACTCTCAAAGCTGCATGACTAGGGAGCTCTGAGAGCTTGTTGAAGATGCAGATGCCGCTGGTTCCCTGGGCCTGGAGGCCCCCACCCCTGAATGGCACCGTGCCAGAAACACCTGCACAATGGTCAAAGGCCGATTCCCAGAGAGGGGACAAATACCAACCCCGAGGAACTGTCATCAGCCCTTTGCACCAGCACGTGACTTCATTTCCCCTAAAGTCGTGGAGCTAGGAGGTGGCAAATAACTTTTACCAAAGGCCCTCCAGGAGATTGTAATCTCACATTTCATGGTAAGGACTGGTCGCCCTATTTCACATTTCTTTACATTTTACATTGACAGATGAGCGGACTGTAACACAGAGCAGTAAGTCCCTGCCCAAGGTCACACAGCAAATTGTTAGCAGAGCTGGAATTTGGCTCCGGTCTGTCTTCCTCACAACCCGCTTATGGCCCCCAGGCCTGCTATCAGGGCCAGGAGAGGCTCCGGGAAAGCAGGGTTTCCAGCTCTGCCTCCAACTTGTGGAGGGACCTTGGACAAGTCACCCTATTTTCTCTGGGCCTCAGTTTCCTCCTCTGTAAAACGGAGGAATAATATCATTGCTGCTAACTTTATTTTGAGGATCATGGGATGCTCAAAGCCATGCAAACAGGAGCGGTCACCACCTACCACCTGCCCCCAGCCCCGTGCCCGAGCCCACCAGCTCACCGTGGTTCATGATGTCCATGCCCAGCCGCAGCAGTGCCCCGGGGTCAGCTCGGGTGTGGGTCAGCAGGCCGCAGAGTGCCAGAAACAGGATCCGCAGCATGGCTCCACCTGTGCCATGGGGCCAGAATTGGGCGCAGCCCCCCTAGGCCCTGGGTCCTCTGGGGACCTCCCATGCTCCAGAAGAGAACAGGCACCCTGGATGGTCTTGGGGGACTGGGAGCCTTTGAACTCCAGTCAGTTCAGCAAACCTCATTACTGACTTCCAGAGGGGTCGAAGAGTGTCCAGATTAAACACAGGACTTTGGGGGCACCCCAGGAAGGTCACTTCCCTTTTCTAAGCCTCAGTTTCCCCATCTGTGAGCATGATGGGTTCTGACCAGCCAGCATTATGGGGTTGGTGGGAGGTTCAGCTGCTGTTTTTCATAAGTTCAAGGGCAGCTCAGCGCCAGGCAATGCTGGGGCCGCAGAGGGGACTGGGAATGGGGGAGCCCTCTGCTCCCCCCACCCTGACATTACAGCCAATGGCATCCCCCACCTCCTCCAGCTCAGTCTCACTTCCAGAAATCTCAACTCACAGCTCCTTAAGGCCCCTTGAGATATTATCACACCAGAAGGGAAACTGAGGCACACCAAGATCTCATAGACAGTGAGTAGAGAACTGAATAAGGACCTCCCCGGGCCCTTCAAGGTTTCCAGAAAAGCCTCACCCCAACTGGACCCCCAGAAATCCCTCCTTCTTACTTACCGAGAGCTGAAATTCTCCTGAGCAGAGGCCAAGGGTTTATTTCAGGTTTGAGCTGCGGCTGAAAAGAATTAAGGAGGGACCACGGGACCTGGCCTGTGTCACCCAGAGAGGGGGAGTTCCAGCTGGACTCCTGCTAACAGCAGGCTTGGCCACTGGGGGCTCCACGCACCCACAAACAGAGATGGGTGCCTACCGGGGCTGCCTCCCCAACCAGAGCCCATACTTTCATTCATTCATTCGCCTCACATTTACTGAGTGCCTACTATGTGCCAGGCAGACCAGGCCACAAGGTACACATGGCAGAGATGGTCCTGCTCCTCCTGAATCTTAAAGAGAAGCAATAAAATGGGATAGAGTGTGTGCATGCGTGTGTGTGTGTGTGCGTGCGCGTGCACGCCTGCATGCACACACGGGCCTGCATGCTCACCCGGGGCATGAGGGCTGGGGTGGTCAGAGAAGGACCCTCTGAGAAGGAGATATTTAGGCTGAGATCTGAAGGATGAGAAGCAGCTAGCTTTTAAAAAGCCAGGAAGACCATTCAGGCCTACAATCAATATTTGCTAAATGAAAGTGTGAGCTCTTTCTCTGTCATTCAATTTTTAAAGATCTATTTGGGCTTAAACATAATCCGTTTTAGTGTTTCCTCGACCTCTGTAGACACACACACTCATGTGCCATGGGCATGTGTGGGATACATGCATGCCCAATGCCAAGCCTCTTTGAAAATCCCCAGAGGTACTGTGAAGTTCAGTGTCCCAGGGTGACAGAGCTGGGAGGGGCTTGGTGAAGGTCACCTCCGGCTGCAGCCCTATCTCCCAGCCCCAAGACAGCACCACCTCAGTCTCCCCATGCCCAGGCCAGAGCTATTGCCAGGTATTAGGGCTACTCTGGTAGGGGATGCCTGGGTGGTTCAGTCGGTTAAGCATTTAAGCACCTGCCTTCAGCTTGGGTCATGATCCCAGGGTCCTGGGATTGAGTTTCACATCGAGTCCCTCATCGGACTCTCTGCTCAGTGGGGTGTCTGCTTCTCCCTCTCCCTCTGTCCCTCTCTTCCACTTGTGCTCTCTCTCGTGCATGCTTTCTCCCTCTCAAATAAATAAAGAAAATCTTTAAAAAAAAAAAAAAAAGGCTACTCGGGGGATAAGCAGCTTGGAGTAACAGGGTCGTGTGAGTGTTTCTGGGACAGTCAATGCCAGGTTTTGTTTCTGGCTTTGCTTGTCCTTTGCCTAGGCTGTTCCTCCTTCTTAGAATGCCCCCCCCATCCACAGCCTGCTCATCCCTCAAGTCCTAATTTCAGCCTTTGCCTCCTCTACCAGGAAGCCTCTCTCAATCCCCAACTACCCCCAGTCTCAAAGATCACAGTTTGAACTTGACTGTATTCTTAATCCATCCCACCCAAGATGAGTGTCTCCTGCTGTCTCCACCCCATCCTTTGCTCACACGTTTTCCTCCACCTGAAGTCCCTTCCTCCCTCTCTCTGCCAGGCAAATGCCTAGATGCCGACTCCCTGTCCCGGTTGCCCCAGCTTAGCTCTGAGCTCCTGCGAAGCAGGACCTCCATGATCTTCCCTCAGCCTCAGTTGGAGCCCAAGGAGACCCCTCAGATCTTCTGTCTCCATCTTGCCTAAGTCCTGCAGCATCTGAAGATTTCAGTGGTTTCCTACCAGGTGGGGGCCACCAGGCGGGGATCAGGACATAGATCCAAGCCCTGACCCTGCCACTCACTTGCTGTGTGATCTCAGGCAAGTCCCTTCTCCTCTCTGGCCTCAGTGTTCTCATCTGTAAAATGACAGGGCTAGGGCGCCTGGGTGGCTCAGTTGGTTAAGCGGCTGCCTTCGGCTCAGGTCATGATCCTGGAGTCCCTGGATCGAGTCCCGCATCGGGCTCCCTGCTCGGCAGGGAGTCTGCTTTGCCCTCTGACCCTATCCCCTCTCATGTGTTCTCTCTCATTCTCTCTCTCTCAAAATAAATAAATAAAATTTAAAAAAAAATGACAGGGCTGGAGAAGACACTATCTGGGGAGAGTTCCACGCATGGGGCCTGTCCTTACCTTGCTGAGCCCAGGGATGTCCTGCAGATGACTAACCTCTGCCTCCTAACCCTGGGACGAGAAAGTCCTTATATTCAGGAACCTGATGAGCTGTTTGGGTAATTAAGGGTTTAATAAGGCCCAGATAATTATCTAGCGGCCCGAAGAGCAGAGCCCCGACGCTCACGTGATGCTTCAGTCTGTTCCAATGTCAATAACACAGAGGAGGAGAGTGGCTGGGGAGCCTGGGTGCTGCACGAGGGTGGGCGCTGGGGCGGGGAGGATGCGGTCGCCTTAGCCGGCCTCAGGGCTCACACTGCCCCCTCCCCTGCACGCAGCGCCTCCCACCAGGTTGGACACATAGTTGGCACTCATCTGTTTCTTCTACATCCATTGAGAACCTACTGTGTGCCGGGCCTGCGCAGGGCACTAGGGGTGCTGCATTGAACAAGGCTGTTAGGGTTCCTCCTGGAGCCTACAGGGGGAGATGGACGTGCCACAAATCAACAGTCACAGAGCCAGGTCATTCCTGGGGAGGTACGAGTAGTGGAAGCCGCTGAACCAGAGGGACAGGATAGGAAGGGAAGCAAGGGGTTGACGTTAGAGCCGAAGATTCCTGGAGCAGAGGGTGTTGGAGCCGATGCCCGAGGCATGAGGTGTTTCAGGCCGGTGCCGGCACGTGCAAAGGCCTGGCAGACATCGCTGGACCACCTGAGATGCACACAGGGCACCAGGGGCTAACAGCCCCATGGGGGATCCTCAGAAGGACCCTCCTGGAGGAAATGCCAGGAGCTGGTAAATAGCAGGTGAGCTTCTCTCAAGGTCCGAATCTGGGACAATGAGGGCAGGGTGATCCCAGGGCCACACTCAAGCCGGCCACGGAGCTGGGGCTGGAACTCGGGCTTGGGTGTCCAGCCTCTCATGTGCTTTCCACGATGCCTTAGGAGGCCTGGCTGGGGTGATGGCAAGTCCCGAGGGGCTGCTGGAGGACTGAGGTTTTCCTCATCTGCCCCACAGGGAGCTCAGAGCTCTGGAAGATGGAGGAAGCCACTGGGACCCCTGAGGCCAGAGGGGGCAAGGGCCTGCCTGAGGTCAGTGGGAATGAAGCCAGGTGGGGACAGGAGGAGAGAAGGTCCTAGGTCGGCCCAGCCAGTCTCTATCCTGATCTGAGCCCTGAGCTGGAGGAGCCAGTCCGCAGATAGCATCGTTTTATCGCTGCTGATCCGCCCCTGACAGAGGGACAGACAAACCTCACCTCCTCCTCCCGAGTGCAAATCTCTCCCAGTGTGGCTCAAGTCAGCCGGCTCTCCCTGCCTCCCCACCAGGGCCGTCCTGGGTACTGTGGGGAGAGCAGGGAGGCAGGAAGGACATGGTGGGGAGGCTGGAGAAACCTCCTGGCCTAGGTTCAGAGCTCGGGGCCCCGGACTGGCCACTGCCCTCGCAAGCTATGTGACCTTGAAATGCTGTTTCATCCTCTCTGTCATGAGGGAGGAGAATAACAATAGGCTTTCTGAGAGGGAAAAGGACATTCACGCCAACCCCTATTGCCCTAAGCTCAAAGTCAGTTGGTCGTAACCAAGCTCTAATGGCCAGAGGGGAGGCAAGCTCCCTAAAAATAAAATTACTGTGAGGAAACAGTCTTTCCTGGGGCCTTGGGTCACCACACGGCTTCAGGGTCCCCGGGGGAGGCCTGGTCCAGCACGTTTGCGGCCGGACCTGCTGTCGGCACTCTGACCCAGCTAGCATTCTGCTGGCGGTAGTAGGGACACGAGGACACATTTCCTGTGCCTGTGACCAGAGCCCGGCCTCGGGCTAAGTGTTTGACCTGCACTAGAGCATTTAAACCTTAGGACTACCCTATGAGATGAACACTTTGACAATTTTCTCCATTTTACAGGTAGAGAAACTGAGGCTCAAGGTCAAGTCACTGGGTCAAGGTCATACAACAAGTGATGGCACAACCAGGAGCTGAGTCTGGATCTAAGGGACTCCAGATCCCAAGCCAAGACTTGCCAAAGCGCACCACCCAAGAGGGCTCCTGCCTGACAGCCTGACCTCCCTTCCCCGCACCCCAGCATTGTCTGTCTGGTCCTTACAACACCCACCCCACCAGCGCTGCAAATTCAGCCATCCTCCGGGACCCGCTGTTGCTGCTTCCCCCAGGGAGCCCTCCTAACCCCTTTCCTCCCCCTACCTCTCTGACACTGAAGACAGGGCCAGTCCTGAAGCTCCATGCCATCTTTCCCCTTCCCTGCAGACGCTGTGGGGACCCAACAAAGGGGACTCCCACACCTACCCATGGGAATGGGTCTCCACATGGCTTCCTG